CACCTCGCAATGTGAGAAACGTCTTGTCTTTGAAATGAAAGCTCATTCCAGATAGCTTTATTTTCGACTTTATTTTTTTTTACAATATAGGACCGCTACTTTCGAAACATGCTGGCTATGTGATTTTTATATGATCACGATTTGCAATTTTCACCAATGATCACGATTTGCAATTGTATTAAAATCTTTACTAATTTCTATATTCATAGTCTCATCCGACATAGAGAATTCATTGAGCCATCACGGCACCCTACTGTGTGATTGACTTTCAAAATTCCTTCCAGACTCTTAATTTCACAAAGTAAGGTCATCCAACTGCTAACCAATCTTGCTATGTTTTATATTTCATATATCAAGGACTTGTTATTTATATAGTACATAATACTGAAAATAGTGGTTACGCCAGCATGACACCTCGCAGTGTGCATAAGATTGTCTTTTGAAATGAAGGCTCGATCATTCCAAGTATTCCAGATAGCTTTATTTTCGTAAAATAAGACCGCCATTTCCGAAACTTACTGGCTATCTCATTGGTTTTTCTATACCAATGATCATGATTTGCAATTGTATTAAAATGTTTTTAAAACAATTCCTATTCATAGTCTCCTGGACATAGTCAGAGAATCATTGAGCCAACAAGGCACCCTACATGCAGTGTGATTGACTTTTAAAATTCGTTCCAGAACTTTCCAGATAGCTCTTTTTTCACAAAGTAAGCCGCTAATCAATCTTGCTATGTTTTTTATTTTATATATCAACAACTTGCTATTTGATATTTCTAGTAACCTGTATTCATAGCACAGAAAATGATTATAAGCGAGCAAGTAACCCTACACAGCGCGACTTATTCTGAAGTGAAAATATCTTTAACAAAGAAATTCCTTTGCACTACAACATATAACCAATCGAAAACTACCATAGCTAGACGTCATGTCTCGATCTTTGTCAAAAAAATGCACATCTAGTGCGGTGTTTTTGCAAAACAAGTTGTTATTGTAGACGCTTTGAATACTTTGATCATACATACACTTGAATCCCTGCTTGGCTGTCGTTTAATACTGGTCATTTGATTCGATGTTTAGGAAGAATGTTTACTAAATATTTTACAGGTGTCAAATAAAGGTAGAAAGCTGTCCATTTGGATAAGAATCATACAGCACAGCGATCAGTGCTATTAAGTATCTAATACTTGCTTTATTATTAATTTAGGAAAACAGCGAGTAAATATGGCATCAAATTACCCACTCGGGTACGATAACGAAAGATTCGAGTCGATAGTGAACCAACATTTCCACTGTTTGATTTGCTATAACGTATTGAAAGACCCCGTGATGTGCCGCAGAAACGAGCATTATTTTTCCCGCGGCTGCATCACGGAACATCTTCGTAGGAATTCCCATACATGCCCAACGTGTGCTGACGAGCTGAGTGTCGAAACGTTGCAAGAAGTTCCAAGAATTGTGAAGAATTACTTAAACGAACTAAGTATAAGTTGCGATCATTACGACAGAGGATGTCGAGAACTCGTACAGCTGCAGAATTTAAAGCGACATGTCGCCGAATGCGGGTTTACTCCAGTCGTTTGTGGAAATCAAGGTTGTGGTGAGACAATCAGTAAAAGAGATCGTACATATCACGAGAGTGAACTGTGAAGTGTCACAACTGTGGAGAAATAAGCACGATGATGGCAGGAATGAAAACGGAAATGGCGAACATCAACACGAAAATAGCGAACATCAGCACGAATCAGGCGGATACGAAAACGAAATTGGCAAACACAAACACGAACATGGCAAATGTTAGAGCGGAAATGGCAGATGTAAAAACGAAAATGGCAAACACGGACACGAAACAAGAAAACACGAACACGAAAATGGCAAACTTGCAGGTGAACGTGGAAGCGAAGTTCGAGGCAATTAATAATGAAGTAAGAGGAATAAAAATGAGTTTAAATGAAGTAAAATATTTTAATTAAGTAACTTACCCAAGGTTACGTCGTCCGGCATATCACGAATTGAAAACACAAATTATCTAGAGTTCTAATAGCAAGTAATTGTATT